AAAACACAACAACTATAAAAAATGTCTCGAGATAAAAAAGAAAATAAATACCAAATATAAAAAAAGTAAAAACCAAATAAGTTAACTAAATTAAGGAAGCAAATCAATAAAAAAGAAAACAAAAAAAAAGAATAGAAACAATTGAAAAAAGAGAGAAACAAAAGCAGAACAAAAAAAATATATATATATATATTATCTATGTTAGGTAAAATATAATAGAATAATAAAAATTGAAAAAAAAATAAATCACTTAATACCCACCTAATTACCTAACTCTACTCTAATCATTTCACTGGGGAAGAATTTGGGTAAAGAGGGAAAAAAGTGGGGGCCTAAATAATAATAATAAATGTAGGTAAAATATATATATATATATATATAGTATTTAATAAACAAAATAAAAAATAAGAGAAAAACCATTATGATAAAAACATATATAGAATGTTTAAAAAAACAAAAAATAATATATATATAACGTAGGAAAAGGAAAAAAATAAAAAAGGAAACCGAAACAAAAAAATAGTATAAAATAAAAATAATATATAATAATAATATAATAACAATAAAACAAAAGGGTTAAATTTAAAAGAAAAGAAAATAAATGGTAAAATTTAAAAGGAAATTGAAGTTAAAATAGGAATTTATGGGGCAAAATGAGAGTTTTAAAAATGGGGGACCAAAACTGTAATTCTCCATTATTTCGAGAAAACACGCGGATCCTGCCTTGGGTCAAGTCACACGCGGGTCGATTTGGCGGGTTGCTATAAATACCACTTTTCCAACAACACCTTTCATTTTTTCCCTTGCTTCAAACAGATCAAACCCAACCAAAAAAAAACCTCTGAAGCTATTCTTGGTGTTCTCATCAATGAAGACACGCCGTGGAACTCAGAAACCGATCGGCTACGTTCATCGGTGGTGGACAAATTTTTTTTTAAACCATTCGAAGATCTCCTCACCCCCATTCCAAAAATCAAAACCTTTTCTTCAAAATAGCCTCGGGGAAGGCTAGATCTGAGATTGATAATCCCGATCCCTTCCCCCATGTTCATCGGCTTAGAACAAAAAAAGGAAAAAAAATAGGGCACCGCTACATGCAAGAACAACCAAAAAAATGTGAGTCATTTACCTTTATTTTTTTCGAAATCTTTACAAAAAATGCTTCGGTTTCACTCCGATATTACTTCTATGATTTTCGTATTTTCTCTATGTATTTCCTCCCTTCGTATGTAATTTCTACATTTATTTATAGTGCTAAAAATTTATTTTAAGGTTCGGTTTTAGTATCCTAATAGGACTCAACCGCTTGCTGACTGTTTATTTTTTGACTTGGTGATGGTGCCGAAAACTCTGGGGAGAGGTTGTTGGAACGGCGCTAGAGTGGGGGCCTTAGGGTTGTCAAACCCTAATCTTTGGTGTGATCTGGACCGTTAGATGGTTCCAGATTCAACGGTGGATAACGAAGCGACTGGCGGCTGGAATTTAAAAACAATAATTTGCTTGAGGATTTCAGATCGGGTCAGGAACAAGTGGATCCGGTTCGAGTTGTCTTGGGCCAACTGGGTTTGTTGGTATTGGGCGGTCATCGGGTTAGACCACCATTTGGGTTTATTTTTGTTTGGTACTGTAAATGAACGAAAAAAAAAGAATAAATTAATTTGTAATATAGTCAAAGTATATAACGTAGTATTAAATACATCATAAATTAAAATGTCATTTAATAAAAGTAGGACGAAAATGCGTGTCAACAACCTGAATCATCGTTTCTCCATTATTAGATCAAATTACTAGAATTCTCCACGAACCTAATGTCCAAATGGCCCTGATTTCCTGAATAGTGGAAACACTCATGTCAAATCTGAAATCACAATTAACTATAATGCAAAAGATTTTGAATACCTTTCTGATTTTATAGTGCCTCCGAAAATATTCGAATATTATTTGATCTTGATAAATCATGTCCCGAATAAATGATTAATTTGTCAGCTATCAAACCCTTTTATAGGGATTCATTTTGAAATTTAATCAGTTTACAAAAGTTTCATGGCTCCTACCTGATAAATACCAAGTACCATAAAATAACTGGATCCTCTAGTGTGTTCCCTATGTGTATTATGATTGTTTTATCTGTTTGAAATGTGTTTACCGAGATTTCTGAGTTACTGAAGTTTTAAGTATGTCTGTTGATTCATGATCTCTGGATATCGTTTCTACTGAATGTATATGTCTGAACTTTGATTTCCTGCTACCATTGATTACTGTCTGAAAAATGTTTTCTTCGGGTACTCTAGGATATAGTATGAAGTATCTGCAGGTTTAACTCGATCAAATTGGTAATTCCTTACAGATCTAAGGTGACCCTTGGGTGGGCTCCTAGGCCTAATGAGCCTAGTGGTAAGACCTTATGAACTTTAAAGAACTCCTTATGGTGGCACCTTTGCTATTTGCTTTGGGTAAGTCCTTATGGACCTGAAGGCACTCCCCTCAGGTAGGCACCTACACTTCGGCTAAGGTAAGATCTTATGGACCCAAGATGTTCCCTTAGATTGGCACCTATGCCCAATGGGCCTTAGGTAAGTCCTTATGGATGCAATTCTAGGGAACTATTTAGCGTTCGGTTGGAGGGTTTTACCATGGTTTAAAAAATAATATGTTTTCAACTGTTATTATTTTAAAAAGATCGGTACCTTTTCATTGGTTTTATGGGAACATACTACACATCCTATCCTATCTCCTGAACCTAGACCTCTGAACATTCCCTCTGAACTGTAAGCTTTATGTCTTTTACTACATGAACATATCAATGGGACCTCCGCTCATCACAAAAATCTGTATGTTTGAATCAAAAAGGAAAATTTTTCTTGCCTATTATATGCATGTCCTTCAGCATCACTTGGTAGTTCTGTATTACTGAGCTTCCCAATGCTCACTTGTTACTCACTATTTTAGGTTAAAGAATTGATCCAGTGCAAAAATCGACATCAGTTGGAGTTCCACTGGTGTTCTTGCGCAGTACAATGCATGTGTTTAGGGGGCATGTAGGTGATATCTGTTTATATCCGAGTCTGAAACGTGTATGGTTTTAATTATTTTGTCGTATATGGATGGTTTTCTGAACTTGTTTTAATTATAATTTTTTATGATTTTACACGTTTTAACATAAAATTTAAATTTTCCTGGGATTTAACTGTGGGTTGCTCTGGTGGCCCAAATGTAACACCTCGGATCGGATCGAGTCACTCGCATCGGATCGAGTCACTCGCATCGGATCGAGTCACTCACATCGGTCTGTGGGTGTTACAATAGTGGACCACACATCAACACCATTAATCGTTATGTAGCATTGTGAATAATCACATCAACATTATAACAATCAACAATGAAATCATTAATTAAATTGGTTTTTTTAGTGTAAGGGTTACATTGAGCATGAAATAGTTCGAGACCGTATTAATTTTTGTAGAAAAGTTTGAGGGCCTCACAGCGAAAAAAAAAATTAAGGCCGCACTATCATTCTTTATCAACACGTCATCTCTGAAAATAGGCACTCTCTAGAATTAAGACTATAAATAAAAGAGAAAATAACCTCAGTGACCAAAAATGCCTTATAATATACGATTTTAACCAACTTTTTTTGGATTTGCTAAAATGACCAACTAAATCGTAATGCGATCGATAATCGCAACGCGATCTCCGGTATCGCAAATCAGTTTCCAGATTCGCAACGCGAACTTCGACTATCGCATTGCGATAGTCCAAGTTCGCGTTGCGATTTATTCCAAATTCGTTGCGATAGTCCAAAATCGCAACGACTGGTGGTATTGCATTGTTTCTTAAGAATTTTCTCTAAAAAGATAGTATTCGCGCGGAGTGTTGAAGACGTATACCACGACCACGGACAGCGGCGGCAGCGGCGCGCGAGAGTCCCCTTGTTCTCTATCACTCAACAAGGAAGTGGGAAAGCCAAGCCTTAAATACCATTCCAATAGTGTTTCCAATACTATGTGGGATTGAGCATTACCAACACTTGTTTCCAATACTATGTGATTATTCAGGAAACAATTAACAATCATGCACCTTAAAACAACTAAATCAGCAACCAATTGCATTAGTATTATATGATTAAATATGTCATAATTAAAAGTCAATCTACAATCAATCGCGATTATTGCAATTTAAGCAAAACATTCAAAAAAATTGCATCACTCGCGAGAATAAAAAAATTGTTATCGTGCAGTTACAATCAATTGAAAATAAATTAGAATTGCATGAAAACTAAACGAACCACAAATATTTTTCATACAAATACTAAAGTCATTAACTATAATTCACAAATAATATCACTATTTAAGGCTCAATCTCATATAGTATTGGGAACAAGTGTTGGTAATGCTCATCCCACATAGTATTGAAAAACATTGGAATGGTATTTAAGGCTGGCTTTCCCACTTCCTTGTTGAGTGATAGAGAACAAGGGGGACTCTCGCGCGCCGCCGCCGCGCCGTCCGTCTCGTCTCGTGTCGTGTCGTGGTCGTGCTTGTGGTCGTGGTAGTGGTCGTGGTAATACGTGTCTTCGACACGTCCGCGCGAATACTATCTTTTTAGAGAAATTTCTTAAGAAACAAATGCAATACCACCAGTCGTTGGAATAAATCGCAACGCGAACTTGGACTATCGCAACGAATTTGGAATAAATCGCAACGCGAATTTCGACTATCGCAACGAACTTAGACTATCGCAACGAATTTGGAAAATCGCATTGCGATAGTCGTAGTTCGCGTTGCGATAGTCGATGTTCGCGTTGCGAATCTAGAAACTGATTTGCGATACCGGAGATCGCATTGCGAATTATCGATCGCATTGCGATTTAGTTGATCATTTTGACAAATCAAAAAAAAAATGATTAAAATCGTATATTATAAGGCATTTTTTGTCACTGAGTTATTTTATCTAAATAAAAACTTCCATATCGGGCGAGCGCTTGCCTTTAATCTCTATTTTCCTTCTTTCAATCCGATTTGACTCAGCTCCCTTGTTGTTTAAAGGCGTTTTTTTTTTTGCTTCTTCCCTCTCGTTCGTTTTGATGGCGTATACTTCGTACCGAACCGGAGGCGATTCCTTCTACAGCGGTGCCGCTTCTTACCGATCAAGGTCTGATTTTAATTTTATTGAATTTCTTTTGATTCAGTTAATTTATTGAATTGGTTTGTCTGAGCCAATTTTGATTTGTGGTTAAATATTGAAATAGGGAGGGTTTAAGCACAAGACCGGTGGCTAGCTCCGATGAAATTCAATTGCGGATTGATCCGATGCATGGTGATTTAGACGATGAGATCTTCGGTCTCCGTAGCCAAGTTAAACAATTGAGAAATCTAAGACTCATTTATTGATTGTTTTATTTTCTAATTTCATATTTCTATGATTCATATGATATTTCTTTCTCTATTGGATGAATTGCCTAAAGGATATTGGCGATATTTGATATGATTGTCCACCTTCATTAGTTTGGCTTTAATATGTAATTTGAGTGTAATGATTTCCTTGGATAACTTTCAGTTTTCAGTAGAAGTTGTGAATCGTGCTAATATTATCATTGTTTATTTGGTCTATTTCTTTCTTGAAATATATGAAAATTAAATTTAAACCAATTTTTACAATTTCAAACATCGTTTGAATTGAGATAAACACGCTTGTAAGAATTCATCGTGTAATGATTTCCTTGGATAACTTTCAGTTTTCAGTAGAAGTTGTGAATCGTGCTAATATTATCATTGTTTATTTGGTCTATTTTCTTTCTTGAAAATATATTGAAAATTAAATTTAAACCAATTTTTACAAATTTCAAACATCGTTTGGAATTGAGATAAACAACGCTTGTAAGAATTCATCTCTAATGGCATTTAATAATATTTTCCTTTTCCTGTTGGAGCTATGTCGGTTTTTATTTCTTTTTTTTTAAGCAAATGAAGCGAACTTTGGCTTCTGTTCTTTTCCTCTCTATTCATTCTCTACCTTTAAGTGGCTAAATTGTGTTAATCTTAAATATGGTGCAGGTTGCTCAAGAGATAGGATCAGAAACCAAATTTCAGAAGGACTTTCTAGATCAGCTGGTATATTACAATTACATTTACCCTCTCTTTACGTTTTTTGGGTGGCTTCTTGCATGCTATGAATTATTGCTATGATGTTTTGTTGCTTTAAAATGAGGAATGACCACCTTAGCTTATCATACATGTTATGGGTTTTATTATAATATTGCTACATGGTCTTGTATAGCAAAGTGAAATCGAGGGGGAATAAAATTTTGAACTCTTTGTACCATGGAAGCCTTGGTAAATAACCTGAAAATGTGGGAAATAATTATTCTTGGGTTATCTGCCCTTGACATAGTATTTGTCTTGTGATTTCTCTATTATGTAAATGATAGTGATAGGATCTTTATCTTCACCTAAAGTTATCAGGAACAGTTTTTCCTTCAGAGTTCGTGGATAGGAGATATCCTTTTTATCTCTTCAGTTCATGATGTTGTATTATTTAAGTAATTTTTATTAGAGTAGCTGAACATTATTTAAGTATTTTCTTCCATCTCTCTAATTCTTTTGGTAGACAAGGAGGCAGGGTTCTATTGGCCATTGAGTTGGTATTGCTCAGCCTTAATGTGAAGGATAACCAGGAAGCCTTTCTTGAGGATTAACCCCATCTTGTTCCGAACTGTTATGTACAGTGATATCTTTTTATCATCCCTGCTTTGTTAAGTTCATTTATTCACGTGCATTCAAAATAAATTCTATCAGTTTATTGTCTTAAATGGTGGTTTTCTGTCGATGATAACATGGAATTACTTGATTTTCCTGTCATTCATATTTGGGGGGAAAAGATGTTTCATCTTTTTGCTGCTTCCTGAATGTGTAATCTTAATTTATGACGGCAAATGACAATGATTAAAGCTCAAGCAGGGGTAAAGAACAACATTAGGAAACTGAAGAAGAGTATAATCGAGCATGGCTCTAACCATATTGTTCATGTGGTTCTTTTTGCACTGTTGTGCTTCTTTGTTGTCTATATGTGGTCCAAGTTGTCCAGAAGATGAAGCTTGGGAGACTGCTAAATAGATGTTTGCGTCGATGATGGAAAATAGTGCCAAAATGTCGATGTTGCTATCGGTTTATGTATAGGTGGTTGGCTGTGTACTACTTTATGTTTTGTCTGCAGCCTTGACAAAAACATCAACGATTATAGGTTTCTTCTGTTTGATGTGGTGGGAACACTTTCTGTTTAACGAATGAGTAACCTCCCCTAGTTTTATGGTTTTTGTCCTGATGGACATGGTCCATAAGCTTGCATAAATTTCAACATAAATTTCTTAAGTACTGTTATTTATTAAGATTCAACATCTAAGCTAATGCAATTACATTAACAATAGATGGTTATGAATATTCCATTAACGGTAACAGCTTACTTGTGTGAATAATGAAGGGAACTTCCATTTCCAATAATACCTGTACAACGTGGGAGAAAAAAGTGATTTCGAAAGGAGCTATTTACATCAATTGTATATACGAATTCTTACCAGGCTAATACAATTACTTGGCTAATACCATTGCTTAAGAATCCAAAAAGGTTTTCGTAGGAGATGACAGCATTGTCAATAGGATTGTGTCCTTGTATGATGTCATTTTGACCATTGAAAATTGCAACCAGGGTGGTTAATTTCTAAATCCACAGCGCAAAATTCAGTGAAGATAATCATGTATGTTAGTCGTGTCAGCATGATCAAAAGGCTCTACAGAGGTGGTTAGCAGTCAAGTTAGATGAACATTGCTGCTCTATAGGTCCCGGTGGAGTACAAAGTCGGCTCCTCTTTGGTTCAGATATCCTCACATGGGAAATTGCGACGGCAAGCACATCCACCATACCATTTTCATCTTGTTCCTCAGACTTGCAGCTTGAACTGTTTGATGATAAGATCGACTGTGAATGCTGAGTATGAGGGTGATCATCCATCCTAAACACACACTCGGATCTGGGAGAATTGAATTTTTGGACAGATAGTTCTACTGAGCTCTTCAACTTTGATCTCATGTAGAATGTCCTTAATGAGTGCTCAGTGTAGAACAATATCCATGAATGCCCTGACATTTCACAATTCAGAAAAAGCAGAAAGAGAAACGTCAAAGTTAAAAGCCTTTTCTGATTTGAAGTCCGAAGGTAAAATTTAAACTAAATTTTTGGGGGAAAGAACATAAAAAGTTCCATATAAATCGAGGCAGTGTGTGTGTGTGTAAAACAAGATTCAGAAGCAATTCTAAGCAAAACTCATGTAAAAATAGATGAATGGACTACGTTTATGATGGCTCACGAACTGTATATGTATGTGTGTATGTATATAATTAGCAAAACTAAATGATATACATTTAACTGCAGAATACAGAGAAGAGAGAGTTGGGGCTTTACCTAGTACTTCATCGGCAGTTATTCTTGATGAGACGTCCCTAGTCAGCATTCTTAACAGATCACGTGCAGGTTTAGATACAGACTCCCATATCCCTGAGTGAAAATCCAAGCTTACGTTCTTGATGGCCTCAAATACTTCCTTCAAGGAGTCTCCTTGAAATGGAAGGACGCCGACCAAAAGTGCATGTACAGCACACCAGCACTCCATATCAACTTTCTCAGTAATCTCCCAAAAGTACTCAGGCGCAACATAAGCCGGACTTCCAGCCAAACCAGACAAAGTCTGACCTGTAGAAAATAGTAATTTGTCACTTACATGCATTAGACACAAGCTAATAGAAAATATAAACATATTTGGATACAGAAAGGATAATGTGTAAAAGGAGGATAACTCAAATTCTTTCATATATGTGTGCATGAAAACATTCAATCATTATGATGTTTTCATATTTGATAAACATATAAACATTTGGAACTTAAATATGCCAATATCAAAATTATGATGTTTCATTTTTAAAAACATTAGGAGCATAAACATAACCCCACATCTCCAAACATTTCATATTGAGTTGCAAATATAATAAACAAAGTGAGAATTTATAAGATTCAAGGTAATCTTTCTTAGATGGCAGATACTCACCGTTTGAGATTCTCATGGCAAGACCAAAATCAGCTAGCTTTATCTTTCCTGCTGTTGTGAGGAGAACGTTTTCAGGCTTCAAATCTCTATGCACAACTCCCATCTCATGACAGTACTTAATGACTAACATCACATCTTTGAAAATATTAGCTGCACGGTGCTCTGAATATTGTCCCTCCGCCATTTGGTCAATCAATCGACCTCCAGAGCACAACTCCATTACGATATGAAAACAATCTGGTTCCTCATACACTGCCTGCAACGTCACCACCCCGGGATGACCAGATAAATGCTGCATTATCTCTACTTCTCTGTGAACTGTTTCCTCTCCCTTATGCAAGGTTTTACATGCAAACTCTACTCCAGTCGTCCTAGACCTACACAACCAAACTAACCCAAATTTTCCCTGCCCGATCGGGTTACCTTTAACATAATCATCCTCAATCTTTTTCTTCCTACTAATTTGTGTAATTACCTCAATGCACCTTATCTTCCTCTTAAGACCTCTTCCCGGAGGTACCAAAGAGGAGGTACCAAAGAGGAGGCACCACAAGGTGGGGCAGTGGCAACACCAGCAAGTCTACTTTTACATGAACCAATGGGAAGTATATCCACATCTTCTTTACACCTCTTTTTAATCCTGGCATAATCTTCCAAGGAATAATGGGACCTAATATTAGATGATCGGGAGTCACAAGTGGGTGCAAAATTGTTGGTTACCTCCGGAGATACACTGGTTTCACTTCCCTTCCTCTTCTTTCTCATCTAGTCAATTATCAATATAAACAAACTTATCTAAAACTAGATCTTAGGCACATTGATGTTTCAGAAATAAAAAAGAAAAACGAAAACAACAAATTTTATTGCCCAGGATCTTCTGCTTTCCTTTCCTGTAAATCTAGAACGAAAACAAATGGATATAAACATGAAATACAGACAAAAGCAAATAATACATCATTTATACAAGTAAATTAGTAATCCATAAAAAATTGTGACCAAATTAAGCGAAGGAATTAAGAATCTGAAATAATATAATTAAAACGAAAAATACATTAAAAAGGAAAATCAAGAAACCAAATCCTATTTTCTTTTTCATAGGAATCTCATGGGGGCCAGTTAGAACCTAAGATCAAATTCCTACTAGTCTGCCATCATTCAAAAAAATTCAACAAAATCATAAAAAAAACCCAGAAAATTAAGGGCGAAGAACGAACCTGCAACCAAGGCCAGAAATTCCAGACTCCAACAAAATGAAGACCCCGGTTGAAAAATGGTAAAGAAAGGAAGGAAAGAAGTGGAACTAGATAATGTACATAATTGGGAGAATTCCGGGAGAGAAATTCGGAGGATCAAATCGGAAAACCAAGAAATTTCCGGGTCATGAGACATAGGGTTAGAGCTGGGTATATGGGCTCAGACATGTGAGCTACCCGTTTAACCCGCGGCTCGTACGGACTTCGGGCCTCAAATATTAAAGCTCGTTTAAATTGATGGTTTTTTAATCCGGACTGTTAAATTCATGGATTTAATGGGTATAACCGCAGGTAGCCCGCGAAGCCCGTAATAGTCTGCTTAATTTAAAATTTATAAAATTTTAAAAAAAATAAACTTAAAGAATTTTATAGAAAAAGAAAATAAATTACCTATAAATATGATGTTACTTATAACTATTGTAGTTCTTAAATTTATTAGGGCGTTTATCATAATTGTACTGCTGCTTGATATTTTTTTTTCATTTACAATATATCAAATTATTCTTCATTTTAAAAAATAAAAATTAAAAGATTTATATAATATTTTAGTCTTATAAAATTTACATCATTATCACTTTTATTTAAAGATTTTTTTATTTAATTTGAACATTTATTTTTTTCATGAAGTATGTTATCAATTTCGTTCTTTAATTATAAAAAGTCACGTGATATTCTAATAATATATCACATAACACGTAATATTTGTATTAAAAATAAGAAAGAAAAAAAAGAAAAAAATTAAAAACATACTTTTTAACTTTTAAAGGCTTTTACAAAAGAAAATTTGAGTTTAACATATATTATATTCAATGTGATATTCTAAATGTCATATTTCTAATATGTCACATAATATTTTTTGGAATAAAAAATATATTAATATATTTTATGTAAAGAAAATTCAAGAACCAAACAAAAAGGTAGCAAAATTGAAACTTGGCAAGAGAAGGTCAAATTTGATGATCTGTTCAGTTGTTTCAGAAAATTGGATATGCTGCATCAAACACTTCTTAATTAATCAAACCTCCATGATTTATACATTTTATATCGTTTCTGATTGTTCTATTTTATATGTAAAATAAAATAAATATATTTTGTAACACCCTCAGACCGATTCGGATCGGGTAACCCAATCCGATCTGGAGTGTCACATTAGGGCCACTGAAGCGACCCACTGTAAAAATAGCGTAAAATTTAAAACTTTTATTAAAACATGTAACTTATAAATGATTTATCAGTATGCAGAGATAAAACATATTTTCAGACTTGTATATAAAACAAAATACAATTACATGCCCCCTAATCACATGTACCATACTCTGCAACAACGCCGGAAAAACTCCCATACTGATGTCGATAGCTGCACTGGTACAATTCTTTTAACCTGCAATGTTGAGTAATAGAGTGAGCTTCGGAAAGCTCAGTAATACAGAACTACAAGATGATGCTGAAGAACGTGCAAATACAGGTAAACATACATTTCCTTATTGGTTCAGATATCTATAGATTTTTAGGCTGAGTTGAGGTCCATTGATATCGCAGGTAGTAACAGATAATATTTATTTCAGATGGAAATATTTCGGATGTCTAGGTTCAGGAGATCAGAATAGGTTTTCTAGTATGTTCCCGTAAAACCAATAAAAAGATACAGATATTTTAAAACATATATATATATACCCCCATCCGTTCACATCATAAATGTGTAGGTTCCCCAGAACCATACACCCAATCGCACATGCCATTTAGACCCTAAGCACAAAGCCGAGGAGTCTACAAATAATCTTCCTCCAACAATAAACCCCCAGATAAAACATTTCTCCGTCGGTAAACGGAGATATCAAAAATCAAAACATAATTCAGATCAGATATCAG